GGCAAGAAAAGATTAAATGTTCATGATTCTAAGAGATTTCCAAGCTATATTTCCAGTACATTGCATTCTTCAGCATAAGTGAAAAAAACTAGTTGATAGGAACGTGGCATACCTTAAGTTTATGTTGAAAATTGTGAATATTAAGTGGTTGAAAAGACCTGCTAACAAAGATCTCTTTTGCTTCGCTCAAAACTATTTTTTGGATGAAAAATTTTCAGTATACTATACCTTGTATCATCGATAGGGTACATCACAATTAATATATTTTTCGTTCTCTAAAACATTTGAAGAACTATTTGAAAAATTATTTTTTGTTTGGTGATTTTTATTAATCAAATGAAGCCTTAATTAGCGAGGGGCAGCATAGTGTCCAAATTTTTGTAACTTTTATTATTTAACTACTAACGAAAGTGCTGAAAAGACAAAAATTTCCACTAGTTTTATTCTGCGCAGGTCCAGTCAACTTCGAAATTTGAAGGACATTTTTCAAAACAGCTTATAGCACAGAAACAGCTCTGTATCATTATATCGAAGATGGTTGCGCATTCGAGTTGCCGTGAGTTAAAAATGAAGAAAGTCTTTGGAAGTCATTAACTCCAATGGCGATCGCTGCTTTAGAATTTCGTTGTTACTATTGAAATAAACTATCCCAACCTTGTAGTGATTTTCGCCACATAGCTGATTGGATGCGCTAGATCCGTACTATAATCTAAGGTGTAGCGAAGGTTACCCTCTTGAAAATGTATACAAACCATTGTACCATACTTCTATGGGAAAGAGTTTCGAAAATTATTAGCAAGAGTTTTTGTAGATTATAGTAGTTCATATAAATGATTCTGAATTGTTTAAAGTTTGCAAATTCAATTCAATTCTGAAAATCCAATGCTTTTTTGAATCTTTTTTGAAAATACTGCGTGAATCTGAGAATAAGCCCGATTCGAATTCCTAACAATTTTATCCATTTAGGAAAAAACAAATGAGAATCTCTAGGGCCACTTTTCCTGCATTTCAAAATTTTCAGCAAACATGCAGTAAAAGGATGAAAATACCGAAGGTTTCGTTCTACGATTACAGAAATAAAATTTTAAGCCCCAAAACGTGCTTAGTCACAAATTTTATCATAGTATTTTCAAGGAATCGAAGAAGCAAAGGCGTAACCGAACAACATTCACCACATTTCAACTGCACGAGTTGGAGCAGGCATTTGAGCAGAGTCACTATCCAGATGTTTATGCTCGTGAACAGCTTGCGAACAAAGTAAAACTGCCGGAAGTTCGTGTGCAGGTAACCAATCATTTCAATAGCGAGATAATTTTTAAAATCATTGAAAATTTGAGATCTTAAGTCGAGTTAAGAATTGTGCTTATAGTAGTGTATTTTATACTCTACAAAACATGTTAGAATTTTTCCTATTTCCTAAGCTATTCATAAATTCCAGAGATTGATAACGCTTCTTGTTCCATTTTCCTGTAAAAAGTTATGGACTTAGTTTAAAAAGTCTTACAAGATTAACTTTTGACTCCGTGTCTCCGCAATATTCTGAAAGGAAATCAATTTAATATTTTTATTATTTCTTTTATAAATCAAAAGCATAGCTTTCATTTGCTTAGAAACTAGAAAAATTGGGCAAAAACAAGTCATACTACTAAAGATATAAAAATTGTTTATTCAAATTTGCCCATTCAAATTATAAAGTAAAAGAAGTCAAACAAAAATTTTTCAAAATATTATTATTCTTCATCATCCCATGATCTATTTGATCTCACACATGATGTTTTGTGAAGTTTGAACATATAGATTAGAAAATAGGAAAATTATATAATCAGTGATTTCACGCTGTTGTTTGAACACTAATAATCTCGTGAGAAAATTCGGTGCCTACATTATTTAACCCGTTTCTTGTAGGGGTTGAACCAAGATCCCAATCTCAAACGTTCCCAACTTCATTTTAGTTTACAGTTCCGAGAGGAACATCTCAATTTTCAATTTTCCCACTATTCTAGTTATTTTTAACAGTTTACCGTACTTCCTTTTTTTCTGTTAATTGAAGCATTATTAGGAGTTAGCACAAGGGCTTTATTAAGCAAATAATATCATTTATCTTTTCATACAATCTCAAAAAGAGTAAGATGAACTCGTCACTGTTTTGCTTTCTAATACGT